TGCACAAACCCCGCCCATTGTGGGCGGAGCTCAATTCTGCCACCCATTATGAGCGTTCCCATCCTATCTTAGGTACTTCTACCAAATTTGAACGCTCTCGGTCCACGGGGACTGCAGTTATAATTTTCCGCAGAAACCCCGCCCCCTGTAGGCGGAGTCCGATCCCGCTACCCACCATTAGTGTTCCCATGCTTCCGCCTGTACTCCCACCAAGTTTGAGCGCTTTAGGTCCACGGGGACAGAAGTTATGACTTTCCGCTCACACACTTATTTCGCACAAACCCCGCCCCCTGTGGGCGGGGTCCGGCCCCGCCACCCACCATTAGTGTTCCCATGCCGCCGCCTACTCCTACCAAATTTGAACCGGAACCGGAGTTATGAATTTCCGGTCAAACACACACACACACAGACAGACAAACCAACAGACACACTTAGCGCGTTATATATAGTAGGATTTTGATCTAAACTTCGTTCCTTACGGAATGAATCTGTAGTTTATCTTCGAATGCTCTGTGTTTAATAGAGTGAACGCTCTGTGTTTAGCAGACAAATAGCCTTCAACTTTCAACGGTCTGGGTTCTGGGTTTTACTAACAGTATTTATTCACGCCCCGCTCTTTCGGGCGGAGTTTAGTCCTGCAACCTACCATCAGTGTGCCTACGCCTATGATGGCTCTTGCATTCCAACCATGTTTAGTCGCTCTAGGTCCATTTTGACATTTTCTGCAAGCCCCGCTCCTGAGGGCAGAATCTGGTCCTGTCACCCACCGCAAAGGTTCCTGCCTGCCTCCTGTGTTCCCACCAAGTTAGAATGCTTTAGGTCCACTGGGACAACAGTTATGAGTTTTCGCCCAAACTCCGTCCACCAACATTTCCTAGACTGTCAGGGAGGATTTAAAGGTAACATTTTAGATTCACTTCACGGGAACGACAAGTCCATACTTTTGGAAAAAGAATTGTTTTGGATTAAACTCCTCACAACTTCATACCCCTTTGGACTTAATGATAATATCAAAGGATACGGTAATATAAGCGATACGCATACCTCCAATATATTTAAATCGAACCCTCCTATTTTTCCTTTCAAAATTACAAAGCTTAGAACTAACGGGGGTAATAAAAAACGCCTTAAGATAAGACAAGATGGAAGAGTGGATAGAGTTCTAAAAACTTTTGCGGAAGAAGGGAATAACCTTTCCGCTATAGATTACTATAGACTACTTAAAAGTCTACCAAATAAAGATATTAAACGCCTAATTAAGTTAACTTGTAGGAGTGATTTTCTGGATAATGTTAATAATAAGGTCAAATTACTAATTTTTACCATCCTAGCTCATCTACACTATAATATGAATAGCGAAATGGTTATGAAAGGAAAAACAAAGACTAAGTTTCACAACTTAACGATAACAGCGGAAACTCAAATTATCAGTAAAATCCCGTGGGGAAAAATCTTTAATTCTAACTATGTTAAACTCTACCTAGCCAAAAAATATTCTGACAATAAAGATAAAATGCCAATTCGTATAACATACAGATATAACAAACCGGTTTCCAGCCTAATCTTCAATTATAATAACTTCATGAGAGGTATTAATTCTAATAATTTTAATGAAATTCTGGACAAGGTCTGTATATGTAAGGATAAGGATAATGAAAAATATATTAGTAAAGAGTTGGAGCACATAGTCACAGGAGACTTAAGCCTAATTAAAGAAAATAATCTCAAAGATATTATGTCTAAAGGTACCAAATATAGAATAGATGAGGGTATGAGTAGAATAAATATAAAGAAAGTATACGAACAGACCACTAATGAAGTCTTAGAATTTTATATAAAGAAATATAAGGTAAACAATGGAGGTAATGTAGTTGAAAAACTTAAACAATACTTCAAAGCTTGTTACCATACAAAAGTTAAACCACTCTTGTTTAAAAATAACATCGTTGGAACAAAAAAAAATTACC